AACCGGCCCTCTACACCCGATATATCAACTGTCACTTCCGCATGTATTGGTAAGTATTGTAATACCGTTATGACCGTTAGGTGGAAGGTAGGAATCACGGGCGGAAATAGGTAAGCGTGGGAGAGACGACGTACTATACAGGTAGAGCTGGTGTTGGCTTATCGTCTCTGTACACCCGATGGAATTATAGGATATTCCAGTGTGAATATGAGCACAGAAGACAGTCTGTGGTGAGTATCTTATATCTCTCTTCTATTTCTGTAACTATATCTCGGGTATCGTTGCGTTATACCTGCATTTTATCGGTCAAACCTTCTGTTTATCGGTGGGGTCCACTCATGCGTGACGATTGTTGTTATTGTGTTACAATGTTCTACACTGTTTAATAATGGTTTTTGACATTTATTATGTCAAGTATCCAATAGCAAATGTATAGTAAATGCATACATAAGTAGTCAGATGTATGTGTATATTGTAAATATCAGTTTGATCACTGTTAACGTGTATCGGTTCAATAAGAAAATGTATGGAAGCACTGATCCATTGGTACATTGTATTAGCTTCTAGTCTACTGTGCGACTGTGCGCGTGTAAAATGTATGGAAGTCGGGAGTGGAAATAGAGTACGTATTTGAGATTTCGTGATGTATAAGTTATTTGTGGACCTGCACATTAGTTTAGATCATTTATTATAGTTTCATTAACATTATGTAATGGTAAAACTATTATTTGATTGACATTAACTATTTTGAATATTTTGATACACTTGCATGTCTAGTAATAAGTTGTATGAGAGAGTGATGTGTTCTATCTTTGTATATTAATATATTTTAGCTTCACATGACGGGGAACCAGTCATTGTGGGTGACCACACAGAGCTTATAGTATGGCATCGTACAAGCAAGAAGCAACGGGACCAACCAGAATGCTACCTATTCAACGGGGTCAAGGTCAGCTTCTCAGAAGATGATGTCTGGCTGACCAGGTCAAGGCCATCAACCAGGACTGAAGAGTCAGCGTCTCAACGAGAGACATAAAACCTTATCCAGTCATTGGAGGTTTGTGATGTGTATGTCTTGCGGGACATTACCTTTGTACAGACGCAAAGGTGTGTTAGCGTTATTGAGCTAACATTTATCACCGTTGGTGATCTGATCAGTATTATACTGCATTGTAGCTACGCTATTTGATACTTCGAAACATACTGTGTCTACGTTGGGTCATCTGTGCCGTCAAGGAGTGAAGATGAAAGAGACTGTAGTATTATTAGTTATCTGTTAGATAGTGCGTGTGAATGTGAGAGCGTAATTTGTTTTTGATATATTCTTGTTGTAAATAAATTATATACTCTTTAAACTATTTCTATTTATTATCATTAGCCACAGTACACAACGGACGCTCGTCCAACGTTACATCAACTAAATCAGTCCATCCCTCCAGTCATGGAACCCCAATACGTGCAACAGCCCACTCCTGGACCCCGGGTAATAAAAGCGGACATCGTCAGTCAGCTTCTACACAGTCCGGTAACACATCTACTGGACAACGATGAACACTTTAAGTAATGTGTGTTGTTGTTTATTATATATAATTCTAATATAAGCTCCATAAGCTGTTACTCAATACTCATGACTGATATAAGTTTGTAAGCAATCAAATATGTTATATTAGTTAAAAAAACAAGAGGCCCAATGGGCCTGCATCGCTCACCTGGTATAAAACTCACACTTGTAACCTTAAAAGTGATCTAAAATAAAGCTACAGGAAAAATATCAGTATTTATGATTAAAATTCATTCAAAAGACCCTGTTATTTTTTTTTTGAACATTTCACCCCTGTGATTAAAAGTCGAACAAAGTTATTATGTTGAACACATTGTATAGCCTTTCATCTCAGGATGCAACTTGCAAAGTATAAACATCCTTGGACCCATGGTTATTCAGAAGAGGTTGTTTAAAGATTTAAAAAAAAATTGACCCCTGTGACCTTGAATATAAGTCAAAGTCCAGCATATGCTACTGGCCGAATATCAACTCCCTGGGCATTTTGGTTATTGAGAAGTCGTTTGAGTCATTCATTTCAACAAACTTGGTAGCCCTTCATCCCATCATGCTACAGGCCTAATTTCAGTACCCTGGCCCTTTTGGTTATTGAGAAGAAGTTGTTTGAAGATTTTAAAGATATCTGACACCAGTGACCTTGGAAGTGGGTCGAGGTCATTCATTTGAACAAGCTTGGTAGCCCTTCATCCCATCATGCTACAGGCAAAATATCAGTACCCTTGTCCTTTTAGTTATTGAGAAGAAGTTGTTTGAAGATTTTACGACATTTGACCCCTGTGACCTTGAACATAAGTCAAAGTCCAGCATATGCTACTGGCCGACTATCAACTCCCTGGGCATTTTGGTTATTGGGAAGTCGTTTGAGTCATTCATTCCAACAAACTTGGTAGCCCTTCATCTTGGCATGCTACAGGCCCAATATCGGTACACAGGGCCTTTTGGTTATTGAGAAGAAGCTGTTTGAAAATTTAAGACATCTGACCCCAATGACCTTGAAAGTTGGTCAAGGTCATTTATTTGAACAAACTTGGTAGCCCTTCATCCCAGCATGCTACAGGCCCTATATCAGTACCCTGGGCCATTTGATTAGGGAGAAGAAAATGTTTGAAGATTTTAAAGATATCTGACACCAGTGACCTTGAAAGTGGGTCAAGGTCATTCATTTGAGGAAACTTGGTAGACCTTCATCCCAGCATGCTACAGGCCCAATATCAGTACCCTGGGCCATTTGATTAGTGAGAAGAAAATGTTTGAAGATTTTAAAGACATCTGACACCAGTGACCTTGAAAGTGGGTCAAGGTCATTCATTTGAGCAAACTTGGTAGACCTTCATCCCAGCATCCTACAGGCCCAATACCAGTACCCTGGGCCATTTGGTTATTGAGAAGAAGTTGTTTGAAGATTTTAAAGATATCTGACACCAGTGACCTTGAAAGTGGGTCAAGGTCATTCATTTGAACGAACTTGGTACCCCTTGATCCCAGCATGCTACTGGCCAAATATCATCTTCCTAGGCCTTTTGGTTATTGAGAAGAAGTTGTTTAAACAACAAGTTGACGCCGGACGCCGGACGCCGGACGACAGACGACGGACGACAGACGACGGACGACGGACGGACGGAAGGACGGACTACGGATGCCGCACCATAACATAAGCTCACTTGCCCTTCAGACAGGTGAGCTAATAACAAAAACAATAGGTCTTTTCACAAAAAGTGAAAAGCCCTAATAAGTGTTATACAACATCATGGAATGAATGTAGTATTGCATTATTGAAACCGAGGAGAACAACTATTAATTATAGTGAAATATTCAGGATGCATAACTCCAATGATTACGATACGATACTAATTGTTGGCCGTTGTATGGAAATAAACCTTCCTAAGAAGAAGTTGTTTAAAGATTTCAATATATTTGACTTCTTTAAATTTGGACATACATACGTCATTCATTTGAACAGACTTAGTAGCCTGTCATCTCAGCATGCTGCTGGACAAATATCATCACCCTCAACCTTTTGGTTATTCAGAAGAAGTCATTTATACTTTTCAACATAGTTGGCCCCTGTGACCTTGAATATGGGTAAAGGTCATTCATTTGAACAAACTTGGTAGCCCTTCATGCCTGCATGTTACTAGCCAAATATCATTACCCTGGACATTTAGGTTATGCAGAAGCTGTTTAAAGGTGTTTTAAGGCAATTGACCTGTGACCTTTAATGAGTGAAGGTCATTCATTTTAACAAACTTGGTAGCCCTTCATTCAAGCATGCTACTGGTCAAATATCATCATCCTGGTCCTTTTAGTTACGCAGAAGAAGTTGTTTAAAGTAAAATCTTGACGCCAGATGCAGGACGACAGACACTGAGCCATGGCATAAGCTCATCTGTCCCAAAGGGCCAGGTGAGCTAAATATTAATAAAGATATCCAGCGGTCACCTTTTCGGAAAGAGTATCAAGAGCCCTCACTCAGTAAGTTACCGTCAGATATTTGTGGTTATTGAACTTGTCTAAGCTGTTATGATAATAAACTTTGTTATGATTTTGAATTGAATCTGTTGAATCATTTTTTGAGTAAAGTTTATAGTACTTCATGCCAGGTATCTACTGGCCAAGCATCATCATTCTGGGCCTCCTGGTTATTCAGAAGAAGTTGTTTAAATACTTTTACATATTTGACCCCTGTGACCTTGAAAGTAGGTCAATGTAATTCATTTGAGGAAACTTTATAGCGCTCCGTCCTATGAATCTACTGCAAATATCATGGCTTTAGATCCACCAGTTCTTAAGAAGAAGTCATTCAAAGAAAAAGTTGATCGATTAAGGACGACGGACAATATACTGTTGTATCACAGGCTCAACTGGCTGGTTCTTCTGAAGAAGTCGTTTGCACTTTTTGAAACGTGTGTGACCTTGAAAGTCGTTTTTATTCGCAAACTTTGCATTGCTGTGTCAAATGAAGCTACCAGACAAAAATCATGATTCTTTGTCTTTCTTTTTTTCAGGAGAAGTTGTTTGAAGCTTTTGATATATTTGGCTTTGAAATAGGGTGAAGGTCATTTTTGTTCCCAAGCTTTGTTAAGCTCTATCAAAGGAATCTACCAGTTAAATATCATAATTCTGGGCCTTTTTGTTCTGAAAAGGAAGTCATTTGAAATTTCAACATATTTGACCTCTGTGAATTTGAAAGTAATTTCTGTTGGCAAACTTCGGGCCAGGTGAGCTCAAAATGACATCATGCATGGTCAATATTTAACAGTGGAAGAAGAAGTCTATATTTTTTTTATCAACACAAAAGGTACATAGGTAAACATGCAGCCGTTTGATGTAAGATAGAAACAAAATCCCAACTGCTTAAAATGTTTTCTCCTCTATGTAAAGAGAAATGAGCAACAACACTGGGGTTAGATTTGACAGCATACAACTGCATGTGCCTTACCTGATGTTGTGTCCTTTTCCAGAGACTGTATAGAAACTTGTAGGTGTTGTCTCTTGAGATGAAGGAGCCAAATACATACTGAAACAAACAGAGAAAAAAACAAGTTAATATAGAAATACAGGAAAAGTGGGAAATCTATAGTTTACACATTCAAGGTAAAAACAAACTAGAGGCCTATGCTGAGTGTCTTACATTATGACAATCAATCTATTATTAACAAGAGGCCCAATGGACCTGCATAGCTCACCTGGTCTAAATCTCACACTTGTAACACTAAAAGTGATATAAAATAAAGCTACAGGCAAAATATCAGTATTTATGACTAAAAGTCATTCAAAAGACCCATTTTAACATTTAACAAGAGTACCGCGGGGCGGAACAAAATACACCTGACGAATGCCATATAGTGTTATATACTTTCTACATTGAAATAAGATCTGCATAATTCTAAGAGTGGCTAATAGCTGACAGGTTATAAACAAAGGCCCAGAGGGCCTGTATCGCTCATCTGGAAATGTTAGTAAAATTGAAGTTGGAATAGCTAGATGTTGCTGGTAGTGTACATGTATTACATGGTTAGTCAGGGGTTATATTTATGCAATTGGACAAAATCCTGTCATTCCTACAGGAAAACAAGGGTTTGGCGAATTTGCTGTGTTTCCCCTAAAATCAGGTCGCCTTTACCCAATGATGCTTTAGACCAAATGTGGACAAAATTCTGTTATTCATACAGGAGAAGAATTTTCAAGAATTTGCTAAATTACCTCTATTGGGCCCCACCTCTCAGGCCCCAGGGGGGTCAGACACACCATTTACACAAAATTCATTTCCCTTCCGCATAGGATGCTACTGTTCAAATTTGGTCAAAATACCTTCATCTTAACGGAAGAAGAAAGGATATTAAAGCTATTTATTTGGCCCTGCCTCTCTGCCCCCAGTGAGGTCAGACACACCGTTTATACAAAATTGGTTCCCCTTCACCCAAGGATATTTCCTACCAACTTTGGACAAAAGCCTGTCATTCCTACAGAAGGACAAGGATTTTGAAGAATTTGCTATGTTTCCCCTATTATGCGCCCGGGGGG